GTTTACAAGTGTTTTCACAAGGCTGTTCACGACTTCCTCGCTCCGACTTACTGACAAGAATGTCACCAATTATGTGGTGTGTTCACAAAACTTTTTTTTCTTCTACTGATTAAAATGAGAGACGGTGTCTTCGCCTCGTCATCTGTGCCGCTTTCGGAGCGACGACATTAAAGCTACTGTAGGCGAGATTTTTTTGGTGAACCCTTTTCCTGAGTCCTTCTCTTTGGGCGGTTAATTACATCAAATTAAGAGGAATTCCACTCTGAGCAGCTGGATAATGGAATTCTGTCCAGTCCTGCAGTGAGAGAATTTCCACCCAGACAGGATTTTTTTTGTCTCATTAACATTTTTTTGCTGCCATGGCTTTTTTTTTTTACCCTTAAAAGTTGCTACACATACTACAGAAGATCTTTAAACATAATTAGCTTGAAATATAACAAGGCTGAAAAATAAAAGTTTCAACTTTTCAACTCTTTTTCCGAGAACCAAAAACAGCCGTCCAAGTTCTTGCTAATGAGCTAAGCTAGCATTAGCAACGATCCAGGTCAAAAAGTCACCTGCTAATTTTTCCAAAAAAAAAAAAAGATCAGGCAAAAACAGGTCATAAACATAAACAACATAAAGTGGGCATAAACAATCCTCCATAACAGGAGCAGTTAACTGCCCTGGGTTGAACCCACCACAGCCCATCTGCCCATCTTGCCCGCTCCCAAGTACCAAACCCTAGCTCCCGTTGCTCCGTAGCTCGTCTCAGAGTTTCTCGTCTTCACCGACTGACCCCAATTTGACAGAAGTCGTTTTCCAGGAATTCCTGTCTTCTTCCAGGAACTCTTTCTGGGTTCTTCCAGGATGCTTTAATTGCATCTTTGCAGCAATTAACTCATTCTGTTGGAGCCCGTCCTGTTGGTAGCAGACCAAACTAGCTGCAGACCATAAACTCAGACTCAAACCAGATCCGGTCTACGGTTAGCGCCAACATCAGGAGCCTTTCAAATGTTAATTTCTGTCAGTGTCAGTGAAGGTGAATCAGAGGCACTGGAATAATTCACCTCAACATTTCAAGTGTGAATTAAGGAGACTAAAGACAGAGGGAGTCGTTTCTGTTTTTTTTCCCCCCAACAGTTTCCACATGTGTGTAACAATAGAATGAAAGGCTGGGCAGATTGTTGCCACTTTGCAGTAATTACTATGTGTACTTGAAGTTGCTGTGTGCCAAAACTGCAGCCTTAAACAAATATATCACTCCGTCAGTCCTTTATCAGTTTCAACGGTGGCTTTACAGCAGGGGGCCTGGACTGGATTGGACTGGACTGGACTGGACTGGGACTGGGACTGGGACTGGACTGGGACGGGGCTAGACTGGGCTGGACTGGACTAGACTGGACTGTACTGGACTAGACTGGACTGGACTGGACTGGACTGGACTGGTACTGGACTGGACTGGACTAGACTGGACTGGACTGGACTAGACTGGACTGTACTGGACTAGACTGGACTGGACTGGACTAGACTGGACTGGACTGGACTGGACTGAGACTGGGACTGGTAACTTAGTCAGAGTTGATGGTCTGTGTTGTATTGCAACTTTCTAGTCTTTTGGACTGGTCCACACCAACTACTGCCTTTACAAGATTTGATACAGACAATGCCACTAGGGGGCGACATGTAGACTACCCCTTAAGCCAGGTGGTCAGAGAGTAAGTATACATACAGTATATGAAGCGTACACATATATATAAATATATATCAATATATATACAGTATATAGATACAGAATGTACAGAAACAAACATATACAGATATATTTGTATATATGTGTATGTATATTTACATACACATATATTGTACATATATATAAATATATATCACAAACTGATCTTGTCAATATTATGACTGTGTTGATTTCAGGTTAATTGTCTGAACAGGTGGATATTTGTGCACGAGTTTGAATTTCTAATAGTTGAACTGTATTTTGATGTTAAGTATATTAAGCCAAACATATGTTTCTGGTCATAACTCAGTCAGGCCAACAGTAAAAGGAGACTTTTGGACAGACTGTCAGCTGGTTCCAAACTTCCGTGTGTGTGTGTGTGTGTGTGTGTGTGTGTGTCAGCATCTGCATGACAAATGAACAGCATCCTGCCTGTCATGTGGATTTGTGTGCAGAGGCAGACGGTGACATCGTCCTCGGGCAGATCTCTATTCCAGAGTCGTCAGTTCAGAGTCGTCCTCTGATGACATCCGCAGACTCTTCCTCCCCGGATCATCGTCTCCTCCTCCTCCTCCTCCTCCCGTTCACAGCCATTTCACAACAGGTTTCGGGAGCTCGGCGCTATTGCTGGGCGAAAACTGACAAATCCTGTGAAAACCTATTCCTACTCTGCCTTCATCAGGTCAATTGTTCTTGTGGGATATTACTGGCCTCCGCTGGGGCTTGCAGGAATCATCTCCTTGTGGGTGGCCTGGGACTGAGGACGTGGGATTGTTTCCTCCAGCTTGTCTTGGCCCGCCGTCGTCTCATTTGGAATTCCTCCGATGATGATGCTTATTTTTTCTTTCTTTAGTCCAAATACAAGTTTCAATGTTCTGAAGACGAATAAACACCTCAGTGATTTTTAAAATTTCACACACCTGTCTAAATATATTCCCCAGGTCCTGCTGATTTGCTGTTTATGTTTGTATAAGTTATAAGTACTGAAAGATTCCTAAAATTAGAAGGAAAACACACACACTTACTGCTGCAAGCAAATGTCTAAATTTGGCATCTGGTTTTTGTAATTTTATTTTCGGACACTCGTGATACAATTATAGAGAATTAATGAAGCACGTCTTCACATTTATAGCGATGAATCCGCAGGGATCGGTCGTCTGGCATGACAACACAAAGGCCTGCACGGGAACGCTGCTGCCAAAGATCACATCACCGAGCTGAAGATCACATTTTCCACACGGCCGTGCGCAGGCGTGACACGGGATTCATTTCCAGGGTCATTAGATTTAATGGATGACGGTGGATTGTCTTCATTATCCAGGTTTAGGACCAAACATCGACCGCCGCACAGTGGCTGCTGCGAGGAGTGTTAGAAACCCAGAGGAGGACGAGGCTTCGACGTCACCTCCACACAGATGGTGAACGGAGTTGGATGAAGACAGATTTACACTCGGTTCCTCGTACTACGTTTGCACACCTGCGAGTTTGTAGGACGCAGTCCAGGAATCGTTTTTTTTTTTTGTATTTTGTAGGGTTTCAATATATATATATATTTTATGAAACATCTGTTTGTAAAGGTCAACACTGACAACATCTTGACGTGGAGGCTAGAAGATGATCTCATGACTGAAGTATTTCTTCATCCCCGTCAAACATATTTTGGCTTTCACAAACTCACACTTCAAAAAACAACAACTCTGGTTAGAAATGAGTCGATTCGAGTTTCAGTCCAACGAAGGAATTTAAAACTGGCCTCAATCAAAGGCTTTAAGTCGTATATATTAGGGATGTCCGATGTCCGATGTATCCAAACACTTCCTATTCCGGTATCCGTTATAGCGGGGCAGTGGTTTTCCTGCTTAAAACAGAGTTTCCCATTTATATTATCGGATATCCCTAGAATATTTCCTTAAATAATTACGGAATAATAATCAACCGCAAATTCAGGATTCAGACTATACATTTGGACAACTGACTTCTGCAGCCAAACTTTTGGCCGAAATGTGGACGACAAAACCAGAAGGCTGTGGTTAAGGACGGGATCTGAACTATTGGACCAGAACAGATGAGGAAACTCACTGAAACCATTAAACCCAAAGAGTTCTACCGTTCTAAATGGATCAATATTGATGACTAAAATGTTAGACATCTCTGGAGAACATTTAAACATCTTTTGGCCAAATTGGAATTGGTGAAAGATCTGCTATTTCAAAAA